GAGGTCTAGCATACTTGACTCTACCTATTAAATTTGACTATAACCCCTCGTTAATGTAACTATACAAACACGCTCCAACATTTTGAACAACACCCCCTAGGGACTGGTACATCTCTCACTAAAGCCCACTTATCATATATTCTGCACCATAAAGTTTTTCTCAATTTTATAACCTAGCACCTAGCACAGTACCTGACACGTAGTAGGAGTCTAATTATTTCCTGAGTGAACGAACACCAGCACGTTCCTTTTACTTACCTGGCATTTTTAATGTTCTCTATGGTAAGAACTCACAGATTTATATTTCCAGCCTTGACCGCTTTTTCTGAGCTCCTAATTAATTTTGGCAAACTGCTCACTTAACATCTCCACTTGATTGACTTTCAGATACCTCAAACTTAAATCCATCCAAAATTGAACTCATCATTTCTTGCCATTGCACCTCTCCTCCAAATAAAACCCATTACCAAACAACAAAGCAGAATGTTAATTCTGTGCTGGTGTTCTCTGATTTAGTAAATGCTGCCATAATCCACTTACTTGCACATCAAAAACCTTGGCATTATCTACAACTATTTTCTCCCTATCATCCCATTTTCAATCAATCAATCCTAAATTTTCTTAAATTTATCTCCTTCTTTCCATCTCCAGTGCTACCACCCTAGTGGATTACCTGTACTGAATTACTACAATGGTCTCCTGCCTGCTTCCAAACCACCCTCTATCCAGTAGCCAGAGTGATCTTTTAAAACAGAAATCTCATCAAGTCACTCCTCTGTTTAAATCCCTTAACAGGTTTCTCACTTCTTTTAGGATAAAATCTAAAACCCTTAACAGGGCTTATCAGACCCTGAATGATTTGGCCACTGCCTATGTATCTTTTCTTATTTTGGGGCACTTACCCACTATTGTCCAATCATACCAGCTTTCCTTTCCTTCGCTTACTTTTGAAAACCAATTTCTGTTTTTATTGGACTAATCCAGGCACATCATTTAAAAACCAATCATTGCTAAGCAGTCTATGACACAACCTCTTTTTCCAAGAACATTGCTTTCACCTCTGTTGATTTACTCCTTTCTTTTGGTAGAACCCTCCCTGCTTTTTCTATGGAAACCCCCAAATGTCAGTTTCTCTGGCTCTTTTTTCTGACATGGTTCATTTTTGCCTGAGAAGTACTCTTTTTTTTTTTTTTTTTTTTTTTTCCTGTTGGAGAGTAGGATCTGGCTGTGAAGTTCTTTATCTGAGCAGAAGAGGCCTGAGTATCTCATTTTCAGTTTCAATTAATTCCTCTCTTTTCAGTAAGATATCTGACTCCCACTCTGATCTATGCCAAGTGCCCCCCTATCTAGAACTCCTTTATTTTACTTTCTCCAGAGATGACATTGCCTGTTTCCTATGGGGGTAAAAGTAATCGCTTAATTACAGAAGATGGGGATCTGGGGATCTGACTATCTTACCTATTGATCAAATTTTCAAACAACTCTCTCTTTTGAAGCACTACATTTCTCCCAACTTCATTCCTTTAACTTCTGTCTGCCCTTCACCTGCTTCTTATACTTGAAGTCTTTTCAGGATTCCTCAGGGTGACTTGCCTTGCTTCTCCTTGGTTTCTCCTTCTTCAAGCTTGACCTTCCTTGGATCTGCTAAGTTCTTTAACATCCTGCATCTATTTTCATGCATTGTGGTTTGGAGTGACTCCCAGTTCAATAGAGATGAAATATGTGTTTCAGGGTGGTTTTCTCTCTCTCCTTGTTACTTTTGAGACAGTAGTGTGGGGAAGATCTCGGCTATGTTGAAAAGTCCTCACTGTTTTTATTTTTAGTTCTTCAAATACCTTGAATTCTTTACTGCCTTTGGGCTTTTGCACTTGGGTTCCAGCTCTCTGAGATACTCTTTTTCCCTCCTTCATCTTCCTTCCTGCCCAATTCCAAGTCATCTTTTAGGTCCCAACTTAAACATCATTTCTAGATGAGTCCTTCCTGACCACCCAGATTAGGTTAGATCCACACCCCATGATATATTCTCATAACACCTAACGTGACTAATCAAGATTACGAGTATATGCCTGTTGCCCCTGCTAGAATGTCAGCTCCACGAGGGAAGAGATGATATCTATATCATTAACTGCTATATCCCCAGTGTCTAGTGCAGTGCCTGGCATTCAGTAGGGGATCAGTATAAATGTTTCAGTGTTAATCAATATAAATTTCTTGCTATAAAGATTTGTAGCTTACTTTACAGTTAACACCATTAAGTAGTTATTTAGATTTCAGCATTCTTAGTTATTATGATCATCTACTTATTGTTATGGACAAGAGCCCATATCATGGTATAGTGTTTCCATAACTACATCTCCACATTTACTTTACAATGAACACTTTTAAAGTTATAATGTACTGACAATAATATAATATGCACTCAGATTAACATAGTGTATAAATTTTCTATTGCTGCTATAACAAATTACCACAAGCTGAGTGGCTGAAAACAACACACATTTATTATCTCACAGTTCTAGAGGTCAAAAGTCTAAAATGAGTTGGCAGCACTGTGTTCCTTCTGGAGGCTCCAGAGCAGAATCCACTTTTGCCTTTTTCAGCTTCTAGAGGCTGCTGGCATTCCTTGGCTCACAGACCCTTTCTCCCATCACTCTCACATCTGCTCACATGTTCACACTTCCTTCTCTGACTCTGACCCTCCTGTCACCTCTATAAGGACCTATGTGGTTAGGTTGAGCCCAGATAATCCAAGATAATCTCATCTCAAGAGCCTTAATTTAATTATATCTGTAAAGTCCATTTTCCTAGGTAAGGTAACAAATTCCAGGTTCTGGAGATTAGAATGTGGACATCTTTGGAGGAGGAGGGCTGCCACACATAAACAGCAAAATGTGAACACACAGATGAATTAATTGCTGCAAGAAATGATAAAAACTTCACTCATATATATTTTAAACTTTATATCAGAACAACACACAAAGTAGATAAAATATATTTCTATTTTGCAAAATTTTATAAATATATACTTAAATAAAAAGACAAGATATCTAACATAAAGCAATGATTATTAAATAGACAACATACATAAATTCAATGGTTGCCTGGACTGCCCTGTACAAATCCATTCTCATGCTTTCATGAATCCTCGGATTTCCTGGTGGTTTCAGGTAGGCATACCATTTCCTAAACGTAGTTATCCGATTGTACTAACAGCTACATACAACAGCATAGAGTTCTTCTTATATATATTTAAAAATCAATTTTAGATGAAAAATATAATTAGCATTGATTATTTTCAATAAATACCTATTTACATTCTGCAGAATTGAGAAAAATTATGCTATAATAAAAACCTATTCAAGGAAAATCAAGTCCAACATTCTTGATAGTTTATTTTAAAAGGTCATGATTAGATATTTTATTCTCAGTTATCCAGCAATGTCATGTTGGAAAACCTAGTACGAAATGACAGTTCCACAATGGGCTGTGGATAAGGCTGTCAGCTGGCTCTTTCAGGTAAGAATCTCACCGTAGCCGCATCTTGATGATCAACTTTGCCATTTAGGAATTCTAATAATTTTATCAGTTCATCCAGGGCCAATCTGGCTCTGATGCATTCATTAGCTGCTGAGCAAGTCTTTTTCAAAGTAGAAAGTTTACTTTAGAAAGCAAATTATGGTCAGAAGATTGCCTGATGACTATAGTTAAAATGTCAGGCTGCCTAAGGCACCGAAAATGCTCAGGAACCCACAACCCCTCATCTCTTGGCTCCCTCTCCTCCAATCTGGCCCAAATTACAAACTTAATATATCAAAGTAATATAATACACTAGAAAATGTGGTACATTTGAAAAATGATGAGCCAGAATTCTACTTGATGGTCTTTCTCCCCTTGGTTTGTATGGCTGAAAAAGCTGTTTATTGCCTTTCTGTCAAAGTCACTTCTCAGTTCTTGCTTGTTCCTCTAAAGCTGTGCTGTCCAATACAGTAGCCACTGGCCACGTGTAACTACTGAGTACCCCAAATGTGGCGAGTCTGAATTGAGATGTGCTCTAAGTACAAAATGCATACCAGATTTTGAAGACTTACAAATGTAAAATATTTCATTAATAATTTCTTATATTGATTACATGTTGAAATGATAACAGTTGGGTTTTGGGGGGATTATTAGGTTAAATAAAATATATCTTAAGAATTTATTTCATCTGTGTCATTTTACTTTTAATGTAGCTACTAGAAAACTTAAAATTACATATGTAGTTCACTTATTTTTATTAGACAGCACTGATTTAAAGCTCCTGAAGGCCCCCTCTATTACCTTCCTTTGTTGTTCGTTATGGTCTTATCCATTCCTTCCTTTTCCAGTAACTGCTTAGATTTAGAAGGTAGAATAGAAAGTTGAACTCTCGCCGTATCAGTCCATTTTGTGTTGCTACAACAAAATACCTAATTTTGTTGGGTAATTTATAAAGAACAGAGGTTTATTTGGCTTATGATTCTGGGACAGCTGCATCTGGCACGGGCCTCTGGCTGCTTCTACTAGTGGTGGGAAGTGGCAGGCAGCTGGTAGGTACAAGCAGATCACATGGCAAGAGGAAGCAAAAGAGAGAGAGAGAGAGGAGGTGCCAGGGTCTTTTTAAACAACCAGCTCTCACGGGAATAAAGTGAGAACTCACTCATTAATGTCTCCTCCCCCAGGAAGAGTATTAATCCATTCATGAGGGATCCGTCCCCAACACTGTCACACTGGAGATCAAATTTCCACATGAGTTTTGCAGGGGACAACACATCCAAACTCCATCACTCGCCTAGGATGTTTAACTAAATTAAAAACTTAAACAATAACCCTGTTTCACCTTCCACCCGAATCCATAACCTGTTTTTATGTGGAATAAAGGCTGCTCATGTTGTTAAAACATCAATATTCACTAACATACCAAATATTTACTGAGAAATGGGGAAATCCTCTGAAAATATATTTTTTTTCTACAGGGAATAAACATGAAGAAGAAAAAACACTTTGGCATTGTTTATGAACCTAAAGAAGTTCTGAATCCATCTGCCAAAGTAACAAATTGTTGCAAATCACTGTGGGTAAAGCACAGTTTTCAGAAGGCATACATGACCCAACTTGTCAGCTCCCAGCCAGTTCTAGCCATGTCAAGGAACCCAGGTAAGATCTTATTTGTACTAACCTAAGATAAATATTCTACTTAGCATGTATTTTTCTTGGTATTAAGGACATAAAATTGAGCCTTAAATATATTATTTAAAATTTTACTGTAAGAAGATAGTGGTAAATCTATTCATCCAGTTCTTAGGTGGTAAAAATCTATGACTGACTTTGCTTCATGGTACCAAATTTCTTAGTTTCTATTAGCCCTGAATCATCGATGTGACAACCAATTAACACAATCCCAAATTGACTAAAATTGATCAAATTTGCCTTTTAATAAAATTTGTCTTTAAACATGACCTGACAACGTCTGCATTGTTAAGGTAAAGAACTTTCAGATTAGGCTTCCTCCCGGTTTTGCCAATATAGGAGAAAACATGAAGGAAAGATAAATTTGAAATTTTGTTTTGCAAAAATGTGATTCCTAGATGTCCCAGAATGCTGGAAAATTAAAGTCTTATGTTTTGAAGAGCATTAAAGAAGAGTGTTGGGATTAGATTTATGTTGTTTTAGCCTTTCAGATTAATACGCTAGGCATCTTTAAGGGATTATTAACATTAATTTCAAACTATCATCCAATTTTAATAGCATTACATGCCCCCGAGAAAGCAGAAATTTCATCCTGATAGTGGTTTGCCACCACACTCAATATGGTATCCATTTTCTAGGAAGAATTCAATTGACTAAAATTTTGAATTTTCATCTATGCAGGTGTCAACAGTTGGTTCTCAAAGCTTGAGATTCTGTGACCTATGAACATCTAGAATTTATATTTTTTTGTTTTTTTGTGGAGATGTAATTCTTATACCATAAAGCTCATCCTTTTAAAGTGCACAGCACAGTGGTTCTTAGTTCACTCACAAAGTCGTGCAATCGCGGCCACTATTCTAGAACTTATATTTTATTGTAGACTGTTTTTAGTATGTTTGCATGCACTAGACCGCTCGATGCTCTGAGATTCCGTGCGACGTTGGTCGGTATCTTCTGAGGTGCTCTGAGGGCGCTGCCACATTTACCTAAGATGTTTTTGTAATTACGGTTTCACTTCAAAAGCAGAGGCAGGACGAAGAATTAATAACGCTGCTCCCTTTGATGTGCGGGAGTAGAGCTGCAGCCGGCAGCCTAGTCTACACGGTCGTTCTCAAGCACGGCTGGTTTTGCTGTGTGGGCAATTCTCATGTGACTGGTCCTTCAGTCCCGCGGGGCAGTGCGCACTCAACCACCGCCAAGCAACTCACGGCCCTGTGAGAGGCGCGTCCCCTTCCCTTCGCACGCTTCTCCTAGCCCGGGGGACCGAGGCCGCGGGCTGCTCAGGAGCAGCGCGTTTCTGCCCTTACCCTGGAGGACATCGCTGAAGAAACGCGGGATGAGCGGCCGGAGCGGGGGCGGTGGGAGAGGGGCAGGGAGTTATCATGGCGTCGAGAAAGACAAAGGCTCGGTAAAGAAGGACAGAGTCACGCTGGGCCGTGCAATCTGCGTACCCGCCTCCTGGCCTTCCGCTCCCGCTAGTGGCTGGCGCTGGAGCTCGGCC